ATGGAAACCACCAAATGTCCTTCAGGCAAAGACTGGACGAACACACGATGTCCACACAATGGAATCTTCTTCCGTCGGGAAAGGGAGGAAGCGCTGACTCATGCTACCGCCTGGATGAACCTTGAAAACACGCTGAGTACAAGAACCCACACACCAAAGATCACGGGCTGTGATTCCACTCGTGTGAAAGTCTGGACGGGGCCCTCTACAGACAGAAAGTGGTGATCGCTTAGGGCTGGGAGCGGGAGTGATCGTTCAAGGGTCCGGGCGCGGCTTTGAGGTGATGACAGCACTCTAAAGCCGCCCGCGGTGACGGTTGCAAGTGTGTGAATGTACTAACAACCCCGGACCGTACCCTGCAAACAGGAGAACTCCCCGGTTGTGGGCACTAGCTCAGCAAACCTATTTTTGAAATCAGGGGTGGAGTGGGGAACTGGGCTCCATAAAGACGCTTCAGGCTGTATCCTTGCAGGTCACACGGTGATACAGAACCAAGAGGGAAGTGTGACGCTCCACCTGCACCCACGTCAGCGAGGAATGAGCTCCGCACCCAGATCCATTCCCGCAAACAGCGGAAGGGACACGTGAGGCGAGGGGAGCCTGCTCACGCTCCAGCCAGGCCCAGGCCAGGCTGCTCCAAGGCCGGCCTGTCACGGCTGAGGGAGGGGGCACTCGGGGGCACTCGGGGGCACTGCGGAGCCTCCAATGGCACGAGTCCACTCTTCATCTCAGAAGCTGCCAGGCTCCAGTGACTTCGGTGTCCTCACTGCTCAGCGTTCATCCTGCCTTGGAAATACCCCCCTGGGCCTCTCTCACTCCACCTTAATCTGCCCCCCCCCCCCCCCAGCCTGCAGGCTAAAGTCCGAGCTCCACAGCTGGGAGGGAGCCCCCTCCAATCTTTCCCTGCCTTCCCGACACTGGAGGCATGCCACAGCACCCAACCGGCAGAGCTACGGCCCCAGGAGCCCTCCTGGCCTCCTCCCTCTGGTGCCTGCCCCCAGCTGCCCACTGGAACCGCCTACTCTTCTGCTGACCCCCAGGGCGCCCTGCACAAGGCCAGCACCCACGATGGTCTTCACTCCACAAGGCCTGTGTGCGGCAATGGGTTGCTACGTGTGCATGATGCAGACACAGTCTCCGCCCGTGAAGCTACCTGCAAGTGGAGAGACCAGCAATAGCAACCAACAAAGAATCACACCCTTCCAAAAGGGGGAAAGCCAAAGTACAGTTATGAGGGCAGGGTCTAGGAGAGGGGATGGTCCTTAGACGGATAATCACAGAGACATCCCTGAGGAAGGGGCACCTGGGCTAAGAGCTGGGTGGAAATGAATCCCAAGCAAGGAAACAGCCTATGCAAAGGCACTGAGGTGGGCAAGTGCACAGAGCTTGAGCAGCTGCCGTGGGAGGGCCAGCACTGCACAGAAGGGGCAGGTGAGACCACAAGGGACTGGGGAGGAAGGTGGGGGCCAGGATGGGCAGCCCCACAGGCCATGTTAGAGATTACAATCTTTATTAGCACCTCAATGAGCAGGCAGGGAGCAGTTTTAAGCCAGGTCAGCAGTGGTTAGGTCTGCATTTCTCCGAATGCATCTCTCTGGGGCTGTGAGGGCGGATCCCGGTGTCCCTCTCGGCCTCCCCTGCAGGCTGGAAGCTCAGCAAAGGCCGTGCCACTGCAGAGGATGTTGCCCTGGTGTTCAGACTAGGGATCCAGCGACCATTTGGGGGACACTTAATCGAGATGGGAAGAGGAGTGACAGTTCCTTCTAAGCTCCCCCAGGGAAAGTCCCACCAAGATCTACCTAGACCACTCCACACGGGATCACCAAAACCCTTCTGGGCAACAGTGAGGCTGGAAGAAAAAGGAGGACAGCCCCAGCCACACCTCCCAGGTGGCCCTGGCTGCCACAGTGAGAAGGAAGGCTGGGAGACCCCGGAGCCTGGGATGAGGATCCTCCCACTGCGCAGCCCCACCAGTCCTGTGGGCGTAACCGTGAGGGACCTCGCCCAGGTCTGTTCACTGATACTACATCTCGGGCAGAGCTTTCGGGCACCAGGCTGCTGGCTCCACACAGACTTGGCACAGAAAACAACTGAATCATCCCAATGGCTCTCTGAGCCAAGCCCTCCAGGCCAATTCTTTTTAAGCTCAGGGTGGTTTCTATGGCAATCAGCTTGAGTGATCTGCAATAAGCCCCAGGCCCACACTCTGCAACCTGTCCACAAGGGCAGCCAGGACAAAGGCACAACCTCTCAGCTCCGAGAATCCCTCTCCACCCAGGCCCTGCAGGCTTAGTGGGGACATCCCACAGCTTTAGGGCTGTCAGGGACATCTCAGCAACCTCTCTCTCACCTCACCCCAAAGCACCTCCCCAGGGACCCGAACAGCACCTCTGGAGAAGGTCCTTCAAGATGAGGCCCCTCTGGAGCAAACCCATCTGATCCTGTTTTCTCCCTCACAGCGAAACATAGAGAGGCCAGCTTTGCAAACCCAAGCCCTGGGCTCTGGTTCCTGCCTCCGAAATCAACGTCCCTCAGCCTCCATGGACCCTGCACCCCCCCCTCCCACCTAAGCCAAAACCTCCTTGCTAGTGTCTCAAAAATATTCAAACAGGAATCTGAAAACAACATGTGATCAAGGTCAAGTGTCAGTCTCTCCGGTCTGGCTCTGGACTTGACTCTGGTGTCATAAGCAGAGTGGGCTGACGGATCATCACTGACGGCACCAGGCCTGCGAGCGGCTGAGCCCGCCTCCTCGCTGGCCCTCACCGGCGCCTCTGGGTCCTTCTCCACGACAGCCTCCGCCTGTCTCCCCTCTTCCTGGGGCCTCTGGAAAGTGCAGCCTGTCACCCTTTTCCCCAAAGGATTGTTCTCTTCACAAAGGAGGAAACGTCCTGTGCTTATCAGATATCCGGCTTCATGCAGAAGAACAGACTGCCGTGAAAATTTATCCCAGAAATCTGGAGGCCGGGAGGTTATCCTGAGGTCACCTGAGTCATCTGAGGGCTGGCTGGGTGTGTGTGCCCTGGGTGGGACAGACTCCAGTGACCCGGCAGGCCCTCCCTGGGAAAATGAACCCAGTGGCTGGAACCCTGGAGCTGCACACCCTCACGTCTCCCCAGCATGCTCCCTCTGTGACCTTCTCTCCTGTCAAGACCAGGAACACAGGGAACCCTGTTCTCTTTACCGTTCAGTGGTCACCTGCCCTGGGCTGTGGGCTGCCTGGGGCGGGGAGCAAGGGATGTGAGGCCCCAGGGGGTGTTGTTCTCTAGCTCCCAGGGCATGGGGCAGGCTGGGGGTGGCAGTCCTCTATCTCGGAGGTAGTAGGAACACAAGCAACAGTGGCAGCATTCGGCAAACATCAGGCACTTTAAGGTACATGGACATCACTCCTCACAGCAACCTACCCACTTGAGAAGCAGGAAGGATCAGCATCCCCATTTCACAGAAGAGGAAACTAGGGCTCAGGGAGGTCATGGGATCCAATGGCATCGACCTGCCCTTGCTGGGGCCCGAGCATTGTGTGAAGCGCTTCGTGGGCCACATGTCACTTATTCCTCCCGACGCGGTGTGAGGTGTGTCTGGAACTAACACGCTTTCACAATACGAAAACAGACTCGGCAAGGCTGCGGAGGAGCCTGAACACGCCTTCCCCCTGGCCTCTGGCCCTCAAGACAATGTTTCAGGCCACTGCCAAGGCAAAGGTCCCGGAGGGCACCACATGGGGACAGCACACCCAGGCAGGGCCACCAGCCGGGCCACAAATAGGCCACAACCGCCTCTGGGGCCACTTGCACACAGGAAGCAGGAGCCTGTGCAGAGTTGGCAGGGAGGGGGTGAGAGCCGCAGGGAGGAGAGGGAGGCTGAGGTCACCGCCCCTGAACACAGGGGAGAAAGAAAATGCTGTCAGCAGGAGGGCTACTGTGTGGCGATGAGAGTCCCCTTTGTCCTGATAACGAACGACAGGAGGTCAGAGCCCCAATTATCACGCGCTAAAAAGTGCTAGCTCAAGCATCCCCTCCCACGAGGGAGGGCCTCTGTTTCGGTTACGTTTTCACTGATAATATGACCTTGTTTTTCATGACCCCCGAGCCACTTTCCAGTGGAATGAATCACGCTCTTGTCCATGACACAGAAAACACAGGACAAATCAGTGGGAGCAGAGGCAGCATCTCCCAAGGTGGTGGGCAGGTCACCGTGGGGTCAGGACCCAGGCTGCTGGGGACCCAGGGCAGAGAGGAGGGAACAGCCAAGAGGATGTGGTCTGTGCTCGGAGACAAGCACACGGAGTCAAGGTAATGAGCACAGAGAGGGGTTCGCCACAGCAGGCTCGGGGGCCAAGTGCAGCTGTTTCAGTTTTAAGACCTCACGGGCCTTTTTTTGTGTGTGGTTAATCCTTACCCAGGGATGTTTCTTCACTAATTTTTAAAGTGAGTGGAAAGGAGGGAGGGAGGGAGAGAGGTGGGGGGTGGAGGGAGTGAGAGACAGAGAAAGAGAGACATCGAAGTGAGAGAGACACATCCATCTCAGGTTGCCTCCCACACAACCCTGATCAGGGCTGGGGATGGAACCTGCAACCCAGGTACATGCCCCTGATCGGAATTGAACCCGCAACCCTCCAGGCCGCAGGCCAACACTCTAACCACTGAGCCACACTGGCCAGGGCAAGGGCCCCTTTCTTCAAGTGTGGCAAGAGGTTCCTCCCTCTGTGCCACCTCAGAACCACTGGCTGTGGCTGTGTGCATGCGTGTGCGCACTGAGCATGTGCAAAGCGCACCTGGACTCGGCAGTACTCCGAGCAGGAAACCGTGCCTGCGCAGACAGGGCAGAGGGGTGCCAACCATGCCCTGGTTCAATCCCACTTCACAGCCACCCAGATGGAGGCCCCGGCAGGGAAGTGCCTGACCACAGCCATGTCTCAGAGACGTGTCCGTGGCGCACACGGCCAGACAGCTGCTGTCGCTTTAGGAGTGCACGAGCCGTTCCCAGGCCTCGCTCCTCACCTGGAACCTGCGCACCAGCCCCAGGGACTGGCTGTCGTTCTGGTCGGCTTCGAGGATGACATCGGTCAGCTTGTGGATGATGACATCCAGGGGGCCCTGCTCCTCCATGGGCTGGCTGAGGTTCAGCTGCGAGGGGGACACAGAGAAAAAGAGCGTCAACACCCGAGCCCACTGCCCTGTTCCATCCCCACCGTCTGCGCTCCCTGCGGCACCGAGAGAGGACGGGAACCAGGACAGACGGGATCCTGGAACTCTGCCAGGCCAGCCCGTGTCTGCACTTCTGTCCCCGAGCCCCGCACCACCCAGGGCACAGAACACACACACGCGAAATCACAAAGAAACTAAAGGTCCAACAACCCATCACTGTGAAATCGTTTTACAGAGAAAGCATTTACTGATCCCGTCCCATCTGCCCGGCAACCTAGATTTTTTGGGAAGAGCTCAGCAAGGTGAAGTCACACAGCCAGATGTGTACTGAGATCCAAGAGGACACCCCACAAAATGACACAAAGCCTCAGCAAAGCTGTGATCTCCATAAACCTGAGAGCCGTTGCTTTCAGAAACAGCCGCTTACACGATGCCCTGGCATCGGGGCTGATCACTGCAAAGTGAAGGAGCACAGGGCTGCCTGTGATCCACGGGGCCCCGCTTGCCCTGTTACACTGGCGGCATGTTTATTGTTTCAAGAGCACAAGGTTTCGAAGCTCGGGCCCCCAGGGAGCCAGAGCCGCTGGCTGACAGACAGTCGCCATCACCTGACCCCAAGGCAGGAGCACCTGCCAACAGCCGGGGCAGTCTGGCCCGCCAGATGTCTGCCGCCCGGCACGCGGACACCACCACCTGCAAGGCCAGGTCCTTTGGAGGCAGCAGGCGCCAGCCCGGCACCTGGCTGACCCCCTGGATGGCCCCAGCAGAAGCCAGATGAGGCCAGCAACCCCACCCTGCCCTCAGCTCCACCCCCCAAGTGGGCCGCCCTCCAGGATCCAAGGCTGACTGTTTCAGAGTCGTTAGTCAAGAAATCACAACAGCTACAAATGATGGCTCTGGGAGGCATCGTGCTAAAAACTTAACGTGCACTCATTTTATTTTCCACCACATGATGAGAAGCGATTTCACAGATGGGTGGAGAGCACAGACTTCTGACACCTGCCTCGGATCTCACAGTGAGAACGTGGAGCGGGGACACACACAGATCCGAGCCTGTGCTGGTCAGCGCCCCCACCCCCCAGCCATGCCCTGGGAAGCTGTCCTCTAGGGCCACAACCACCTGGCTGCCCTGTCCATCCAGCCGGGCCGAATGAAGGTGCCAAAAGAGGAAGGAGAAGGAGAGCAGTCTGGGTGTTGGTTAACATTCTCAGGCCCCACCAGTTCTGACAGCAGCCAGTCTCCGTGGGCAGGGCAGCCCCCCAAGACCACTGCTGTTTCCAGGGTCCCGCGCCACCCTCCCTCCCTTGGTCCCCTCAGGCCTGGGGTGGTGACAGCTCACTGCTCCCAGGGCGCCTCCCTCCCTCCTGGTGGTTCCTGGGACCCTGCCCAGATTTTAACTCTTGTTCAGTTAAGCCTTCGGATCCTGCCAGCTCTTTCCTGCTGGTATCCTTGACTCCTTTCACTGTCTGCCAGGAAAGATGTGAAGGGATTTCCCCTATTAAAAAAAAAAAGCATGAAGACTCCCCTCCCCATGGTGACCAGCCCGTGTACAAACAGAACAGAAAGCAGAGCAGTGGAGAAGTGACCGCCTCTGCTGGGGCTCCCGATGGCAGAGAGGTCCCGGTCCGCACAGCAAGCCCAGGGGCCGGGAGGACATTCCTGCTTCACCCCAGGGCACCGAGAGCCCAGAAGGGACAATGACCAGGCAAGGCCACGCCGTTGGGAAGTGGCCCAGCTGAGGCCTGGACAGAGCCAAACAGCAACCACCACGGGCTCAGGCCCGGCTGCGCTGCCAGGCATCCTAGGCCGTGCAGAAGCCCAGCTCATCATCCCCCCGCCTCGGTTTCCCCTGCAATCGAAACAGGAAATGGCCCGGCCTTTTGGTCCTATGTGCAGCTTCAGCAGGACACCCCATCCAGCCCACCTCGCAGGAAAAAGGCGGAACTGGAAGGAAGACAGAGAAGTCAGTGGGAAGTGGTAACATGAGAAAAGAACAGCGGATTCTCAAAAGGTGCCCCAGACCCAAACCCACTTTTGCTGTACCCCATGGCTCCGCTGTGACAGGCGCCACAAACAAGAGGCCAGTATGTTCAGACCAACAGCTACACTCGAAAGAGAACCAGGTCACAGAGGGATGCTGGGCAGTGCGCCCCAGGGCCAGTGAGAAACTCCAGCCCCATGGGAACCTTCCAGGTCTCCTGTGCAGCGTGAGGGGCAGAAACCAGCCAAGAGGGGTCCCAGTGGGCTCGGGAAAGGAGATGGCAGAGGAGATGCCCGTCTCATCCTTGCCTGGCACCAGCCAGGGCCTGTAGGCCCGACAACCACGGGCCGTTTGGAAAATAAGCTCCGAGTTCCCGGCTGCCCCCCTGAAGGCAAACAGTTAGCTCTGGATGCCGGCCGCCTTCCTTTGTGTACCTTCCAGGCACGTTTATGCCAGTAAACCCTTTCCCGATAACAGCCACTTGGGACACACATCGGGCTGGTCTGGTCCCCGCTTGGCCCTCCCTCACTGCGCATCTTTGCGGAGGCTGCTCCCTCGGGAGGGGCCTCAGGCAGACTCTAGGCGCACACGGGGAGCAGGCCGTCCTGAGATCCCAGACCCCTCAGGAGGAGGCTCTCAGAGGACAGGATGCCCCAGGGAAGGGGACACACCTCAGAGGACCCTTTGGGGGAGGAGGAGGACACACCCCAGAGGCTCTGTTTCCCAGATGGGGAGGGGACAGGGGCTCAAGCAGAAGTGAACACATCCCCACTGGGTCACGTTGTCTTCCTGACCACACTCCGTCCCCAGAAAAGGGAACTTTCCAAGGAATGTGTTCTATTCCACAGGAAGGGTCTGATCGGGCCCCTCAGCGAGTAACAAGGTGTCTCGATGAAAGGGCTGCCACTGTGGCCAGAGGAGTCTGCAGGCACCGCGTCCAAGTCACGCCACCCTGGGAAGGCCAATGCTGGGTGCCGTCTGTGCAGCCCTCAGAACCCCGAGAAACAAGGGCCCACTGTTCCCTCCGCGACTAAGCAGCGGGGCGGACTAGAGGAGGGGGGCTGGGAGGAGAGGAAACAAAGGCCTGCAAACCCCAGCGGCTGGAAAGTCACCTCTAACTTCAAAACAGGCTGCCCAGTCATGCCCGCCGGCAGCCACCGCAGCCAGGCTCTGACTCCCCCACCTTCCCCACCGCCTGGTCGAGAGGAGGGTGGGCAGGGCAGATGCCAGGGAACCCATCGAGGCTCAGCTGCTCTGTGCCTCGGTTTCCCCATTCGTACAATGAACGTATTACTATGCTTTCCTTACACTGCACAGGGCTGTTTTGATGGCTTGAACATTCTGTGTATGGACGTGGCCCAGGGTGGCTGCAGCACACACTGGCTGTCAGCACTACTCTGAGAGCTGAGACAACACTCCTGCTCCCTCGCTCGCTCGCGCATTACTTCAGCAAGCCCTCTGGGCGCCGGCTGAGTGCAGGCCCCTGCCCGCTCCCCTCCGGGCTCTTAGGCACTCGAGTATGAGCATGCCGGGTCCATTCTGGAGGCAGACTCAGGTGAGGGAGGCAGTCCCATGCCCTTTGCCTGGAAGGTCCCCCCAACTCCCCAAGCCCCTCGTCACACAGTGAGCTCGTTTTCTAAGTCCCAGCTCAAAAGTTCGATTCTTCTTCAGACTTCTCAACTCACCCCACCCCCAGCAGGAAGAATCAATGGCTCTCCGGTGGTGTCTTCCATGTCCCCAGAGCCCTTTGCACACCCTCCCAGGATACACAGTAGCTTCCAATGATCAAGTCATGTCTTTAACACTGACTCCTCTGCCAGACTCCGAGATGCCTGATGACCGTGGCTGAGCTCTGGCATCCAGGGAACCTAGAGCTCAAGGTGAGAACTTGGTAAATGTGTGCTGAATGCAAACTACGCTTTAGAGAAGCAGCGGACATTGCTGGCCAACTGAGAGGGACAGTCCATGAAGCAGGGTGACTCGTTCCGCTCTGGGAGTTAGAAACAGCCTCCTGGAGGAGGAGGTTTCTAGGTCAAGCCATGGAGGAGGGAGAGGAGGGAAGACTGTGACCTCTAGAGCTGGGTGGGGAAGGAAGGAGTGATCTAGGGAGAAGGGTGGCTATGGGGACACAGAACTCATCTGCATTAAATGTCCCTTGTATTTGTCGGTTCCAAGCGCCCGGGGTGCCCCAGGCTACCACCCCTGCAGAAAGAGCTGGTCTTCCAGCACTGACCGCTGACGGGAGCCTGGGAAGGGAGCCATGACCACCCCTCTCAGGTCTCCTCTGCAGGCGGGAAACAGAGGAGCCACTAGAACCTGCTGAGGCCCTGGAGGGCCAGGCGCCTCCCATGAGCAGAATTCTGCTATGGCGTGAACAACTAGAAGTCTTCAGTGTGTTAAGCCAAAATTTAGGGGTTATATGCACTGGCCATTAGCCTACCCTGTCTAGTACAGTCCCCAAAGGGGAGAAGGTGTGTGGGGGGGTGTCAAGATGAGATCAAAGACCAGGCGTTCTCTAGGGAATTCCCAGCTTCCCCCCCCCCCCCCCGACTTCCCCACGTGCTTCCCTGACATGATCAATAACCAGTTAGATAGGAAAGAAACAGAAAACCATCCCTGGGGCTCATCAGGGAGGCTAGGGACTCAGGAAACCTGGCTCCAACCCCCACACCGCGGGCTGCTCACCCTCTCTGGATGCAAAACGAAATGCGTTCTATGACCTGAGAACAATCAACATGTGCCCTAGCCGGTTTGGCTCAGCAGTTAGAGCACTGGTCCGCGGCCCAGAGTCGTGGGTTTGATTCTGGAAAAGGGCATGTGCCTCCGTTGCGGTTTGGTCCCCTGGTCAGGGTCATGTGGGAGGTAACCTGTAGATATGTCTCTCTCCCATCAATGTCTGTCTGTCTGTCTCTCTCTTTCCCTCTCTCTCCCTCTCTCCCACTCTGTCTGAAGATGAATGGGAAAATATCCTCGGGTGAGGATTAAAAACAAAAAACAT